ATGTTAGCACTACATGTCAAAGAATATAACCCCATTCACAAGATCGGAATTGATTTCAACCAAACAATATTAATATGACCGATCGCAGACCTGTCACTAGAGCGGTACAACGCGATGAAACGCATCTATCTCATGTTAATGGCAATGCTTTCTTAAGAAATATATGCCATCAGATAATGCGACATGAAAAAATGAAAATTTGCAGCGCATGGCTAAGACCTCACGAACACGAAGTGGTTGATCGCTTCAACAAACGTCTCGATTTGGCCACGAATCTCGAGATGGAAACCGCTGAAGAACTTCAGGTACACCAACTATTCATCAGTGTCGAGCTTAAAGCGTAAAAATGCTCTAGGATAGTGTGCATTGCAGTGCGGTAAGAGCAAATGACAGTGAAATTATCAGACGGTTGTGTAAATTTTGAAATGAACTTNGAGATCTAAACATGAATGACTGTATGCACTGATAAATTATTGTTCGTCGATGCAATCATGTGAATTATATCGTAAACGTTTTCTGATATCTAAAATTGACATGACCGTTAAAGAGGAACTCCATAACAGTGAAAGAAATTCGACAAATCAGTGACCTCAACCTCAAGATTCTGTGCACTGTTAACAAGGAGTGGAGTATAAGGAAAACAAAAATTCATGCGATATGAAGAAGAATTTTTATGTTGACGAGTACGATTCCATGTTCGTGCAATAGAGAATTTTACGAACGATTTCCCCAAATAATCGATAAAAATTTAGAAAGAAGAAAAGAATGCGTTCAGGGAATTGGGCACTGGAAACCGTATCGCCACAATCCTCGTTTATGTGAGTTTATTTCTTAACGTTAATCATCAACTTCAAATATTTCGATGCTTTTGAATATTACCAACAAAGAAGTTCGAAGACAGCAACCTCCTTCGATCCATCTATCTTCCGCTCCTTCATCTATTCGACGGCACAAACGGAATATCCGATATGCTCCGTGAAGGCATGATACATCATTTTGATATCTTTCAGATGACTGAACCAGAAATTGGAGGAGGTACCGTCTTCACTGATGTAAAAACATCAGTAGCATGCACCAAGGCACGTTCTCTCAATTTATTAAAGTTTGATATGTGTAAATTATTCTATTTTTATTCTATTCTTCCTAACAACAACAAATCCGTTTCCAAGTTAGACTACTTGTTTTCAAGTCAAAACTTTTGATGAACTTGCGATAAACTACTTGTGTTTCATTGTATTATATTTATGCATTGATGTCCTCAATAAGTCTTGTGACTCTCTGCATGCAGAAACAATCCATAAAGTAGATTCGTTAGCTTGCTTACAATTAGATGCGTTCATTGAAAGAGAATGGCTAAATAGCAGTTCTCTTGTGTTGTTAAATGCACAATCTGTTGTATGAATAATATCTCAAAAAGAATGTTCAATGAACTAGTTTAATGCAAACATTGAGATAGCTCAGAAATAAACCAGTCATGTGGATCTATCCCACATGCAGTGCCTACTCAGAATGAGGATTTAACAACGACAAACTTCCAAATTAACAATAAGTGCTATTTCGTTCAGAATGCAGCACTGTTTTGGTATAATTTGATGCGAAGCGGTGAAGTGGATATGCGTTCAAGACATGCCGCATGTCCTGTGCTAACCGGCGTGAAATGGGTGACAAATAAATGGATTCATGAACGTGGTCAGGAATGGCGTCGTCCGTGTGGCTTGAATCAGTTCGATCAAGAGCGTTACGTCGGTGATCTGGGTGCTCCTGAGCCAAAAGATCATTGGAATATCAGATCCACCCCCTAGATACGATGATGGTGGTGGTGACTGCACATTCGGCTATTTAATAGCAACGTTGGAAATGAAGCAGTTCTCTTTTCAACACGAACACACTGCATTGATTTTCTTGAATGCAATTCTACTTCGTATGATTTTTCCTTCATGTCTAATGTGTAATTTTTAGCAGTTGGCATGAGAAGTTTCTTGAAAGTGAAATATGTGATCGTCGCATCAAGATTTTGATTCGACTCTCGAAATTCAATTTCACGGTTTGATGCGTTGCCGTCCTCGAAATTATACTTGCAAACAGCAAAATTTGAGATTCCGGAACAAAAACTCGAAGAAAATTAGTTAATTGAACTGCTGACTGGTTTTAAAAAGTTAATTATGAAAGAATCGCTGAATTGTGGTTAACGCATTTTTAACGAATCATTAATTCGATGACACTAATGAATCGAGTTTTTAGCAACGAAAAAGTGATGTAGAAAAATTTAAAGGCATCTTTCTTGTCAGAAATTTGTCCACATTCATTTGACGATAAGCTGATTGATCAGTCGGTCTTACGAATGAACT